GAGGAACTCACAGCCACCCCCGGCCCCGCCGCAGGCCTGAAGATGGTGAAGCTGTTCATCGGGAACCTGCCGCGGGAGGCGACGGAGCAGGAGATCCGCTCGCTGTTCGAGCAGTACGGCAAGGTGCTGGAGTGCGACATCATCAAGAACTACGGCTTCGTGCACATCGAGGACAAGACGGCGGCCGAGGACGCCATCCGCAACCTGCACCACCACAAGCTGCACGGCGTCTGCATCAACGTGGAGGCCAGCAAGAACAAGAGCAAGGCCTCCACCAAGCTGCACGTGGGCAACATCAGCCCCACCTGCACCAACCTGGAGCTGCGCGCCAAGTTCGAGGAGTACGGCCCCGTCATCGAGTGCGACATCGTCAAGGACTACGCCTTCGTGCACATGGAGCGGGCGGAGGACGCGGTGGAGGCCATCCGAGGGCTGGACAACACCGAGTTCCAAGGTGACGCCGCGCGGCTCGGGGACGGGATGGCCGTGGGGAGATGGAGGTCGGCCGTGGGGAGATGGAGGTCGGCCGCGGCGCGGCGGCGCCGTTCGGCTCTTTGGTGAGGCTGGAGCCGGCCCCGCAGGGAGGACGCTGTGCGGGCACTGCGAGCTCTGCCCCGCGGCGCCACGTCTGAGCCACGTCTGAGCCGCTGGGGTCCGTGGCGTCATCCCGAGATGCCGCCATCTTGTCGCGGCGTTGCCGACCCCCGGTCGGGGTGCTGGTGATGCCGGCACTTCCTTCTTCCTCCGGTGTGCCCTCCAAGCTGCTCCTCACGGCGGTCCCGCTCACGAGGGTTAGGCTCCGGGCTCTTGGCTGGGTTGGGGGATGCGTCCCAAGGACCCAGCGTGGCGGTGGGGCTCTCGCCAGCCCCGCAGTTCGGCAGGCGGACGAGCAGAGCCGGTGCCGGGCCGCTTCCTCCGCACCAAAAGTGAGCGCATCCCTACAGGGCTGCGCCGGCGCCCGTCGGGTCGTTGGGGACGCGTCCGTTGCGTCATCCCAAATGCCGCCATCTTGTCGCGGTGCGACCGATCCCCGGTTGGGGCGCTGGTGACCCCGGCGCTTGCAGTTGCGCCGTCCCCAACGCTCCTCTTTGCCACCACCCGTTGGCTGTCAGCACAGCTCTGCTTCACCGCAGCCCGCTGCCTTCGGTGCTCTTCGTCCCCGCAGCTCATCGCCCCTCGGGGGCGTCCTCAAAGCTCTCCTTCCCCACCTGGCGCCCCATTTCGGGTGTCCCCGGAGCCGTTCTTCCCCGTCACCCATGCTCTCCGTTTGGGGCACCCCGATGCTCTTCACCACTCCTCGCCACCCAGTTCTCGGTGTCCCCGGCGCTGCTCTCCCCCACGCTTGGTCCCTCTGCTCAGCCCCACGCTGAAACTCCTCTCCAAAGCGCTGCGGTCCGCGCAGGATCCGACGTCAGGTTCTCCCCAGCACACACCTGGGGCCGCGTCCCGTCCCGAAGGGCTCTCGTCCCCTGGGTGCCGCCGTGCGACGCGGCAGGACCCGCTCGTGCGCGGCCCCGTTGGGCGGCGGTGCCGGGTGGCTCTCCCCGCGCCGTGCTGGCTTTGCGGCGGCGCTGAGCTCTCTGCCATCGGGTCGGCGCGCCGCTTTTCCGCAGCTTTGGAGGCCGCGGGTTCGGCTGTGAGTCCCCGCAGGCCGGGCGGGACGTGGCTCAGAGCCTCCGAGCGCTCGGTGGCCCCGGTGCTGGTAAGTCGGTGCCTGGCTCGGCGCCGAACGCGGCAGGGCGGATGCAGGAGGTCGGGGACTCTGCTGTTCGCAGCGTGGTTGCGGTGGGGATCCGTCCGGCCGCGGCCCCACGTCTGCTTTACTGTGCATGTTTTTGTAACGAACCTCTTGGTGTGGCCTCAATTATAGCCTCCCTTTTGCGTCTGTTTCTTCAAGGCAAGCGGATGCGCGTGCAGTTGTCCACCAGTCGGCTCAGGACCGCGCCCGGGATGGGAGACAAGAGCGGCTGCTACCGGTGCGGGAAGGAAGGGCACTGGTCTAAAGAGTGTCCGGTAGATCGCCCGGGGCAAGTGGCTGACTTTACCGAGGCCTATAACGAGCAGTACGGAGCCGTGCGCACTCCCTACACCGCGGGCTATGGGGAGACCATGTATTACGATGACGCGTACGGCGGGATGGCCGACTACTACAAGCGCTACCGCGTCAGGTCCTATGCGACGGCCTCTGCGTACGACGCCTACGCAGAGCAGACCATGGCCCAGTACTCCCAGTACGCCCAGTACTCCCAGGTCCAGTCCACGGCCATGGCGGCCACCACGGCCATGGCCAGCCGCATCCCCACCACCTTAGACCCCTACGATAGAGCTCTGCTGCCCACCCCGGGCGTAGCGGCGGCCGCGGTGGCGGCTGCAGCCACGGCGGCGGCGGCGGCGGCCTCCTCCACCTATTACACCCGGGATAGAAGCCCCCTGCGCCGCACGGCAGCCGCGGCCACCACCGTCGGAGAGGCGTACACGTACGATCGTAGTCAGCTGTCGCCGGTCTCGTCGGTCGCTCGGGCTTCGCTCTACGACATGCAGCGCTTCGGGCGCGACCCGTACGCGGACAGGGCGCGGTACTCTGCCTTTTGAGCCGAGGTGAGCGTGTGTGGAGCCGCAGACCACCGGTGTGCGCTGGGGTCGCGCGGGGTCCCCCGGCGGCAGGGCTGACCCCGCCTCGTTGCCAGCGCAGGGGGTGCAGAGGTCGGGGCCGAGCGCCGGGACCCGGCTCGGGGCCCTTTGTGGGCGTTAAAGCCCGGACGCCGGCTCCAGCAGAGCCCGGCTGGCATCGGCACGGCGAGCGTGGCGAGATGAGCGTCGGCATCTCGGTGTTGAGCGGTCCTCCCGGTGCCGGGAGCGGGCCCTGCTCCCCGGCGTGGCGCGAGGGGAGGCTCCTCTCCCGCTCCACTCCCACAACGCCCTGCCGAGCCCGGTGCGACTGACGAGTCCCAACCGAGCGGCGTCCCGCTGCCGGCAGCTCGGCCGATGTCTGGACTCCAGCTGGACTCCGGCTTCTTCCGCAGGGCTCGGCTCAGCCCCAGCTCTCCGCCGGGGTCCCTGAACTCTGCTTTTCTCTTTCAGGTAAGATAATTGCGGCTGGACGTCGGGTTCCCGTGCCGTGCGCGTCTGACTGTGCTGGGCTTCAAAGCACACCCGTTTCACCTAACGAATCGGTCCCTAACGGACGCTCGAGCTTCTTCGTAGCGTAGTCAGAAGTAGCTGATCCCCCTTCCCCGGCCCCACTTTACGTTCAGTCTTTCAGGATTTGCCTTCTCGCCTCCCCGTGCCGCTCTCCAGCCCCTAGCTGGTCTAGGCTCAGGTTCAGCGCGAGCGTAGCCGTAGCACGAGCTTTGCTTCCCCGTTCCCCGTCTCGCAGCCTGGGCTGTAGCTCCTTTTGGTTCGGTTTTGGTTTGTTGGGGTTTTTCTCCTTGCTTTTTTTTAAGGACGTGCGTGTTTTGTTAAGGACGGTCAGTCTCACCCTTGTGGTACTTAGCGATCCCAACTGCGCTGCGCCGAGCCCGGCGTCACGCCTGGAGCCCAACCTGCGGCTCTGCCTCGGCCTTCAGCTCCCGCCCCTCCCTCCCTCCCTCCCTCCCTCCCTCCCTCCCTTCCTCCCACGGCTCTTTCCAGTCAAATAAACTCTTTTAACGAACCTCACACTGAACCCAGGCCTGTGTCTCCTGCGCGGGCGCTTCCCCTTCCCCCGCACTCACCACCATCCTGCTGCCAACGAAGGGACGGCTGAGGCAGCAGCTCCGCCTTACAGCCCTGCTCTAACACCGCCCTCGTCCCGATGCCAGGCTAATTAACGGGGCTGGCTCGTTAAGGACCCTGCAGAGCCCCCTGCCTTGCTCCCTGGCCTTGCCGGCTCGTTACTCGATGCAATTAAACGCTCATTAGAGCCTAGGCCTGGGCTCTTTGCCTCTTACATCCTGACCCTGTGGCCCCGTGCTCCTGGGGAAGCCCTTCATCCCCCAGCCCCAGTTCTGGGGGTCGTGGCATCGCCCAGCAGCTCTCACCTGCTCCCCTGGCTGCCTCCTACAGCTACAGCTGCCTCTCCTACGAGCCGCTCATCCTTTCCAGCACCTCCCCGGGTACAGCCATGACTTTCTGGTCTCTTTTCCAGCGCTGCCACTCGGCTCATTCCTAGCAGCGCACCTCTGCCTGTGGCTGCGCTCCTCCTGCTCTACCTCAAAGCTGTTCCTGCCGCTCCTCGGGACCCCGGTGCTGCCACCAGCCTGGAAAACGAGGGGAGAACTGTTAGGCTGCTCCTTACCTCCCGCGCCGCGCTGGTGAACGAATCCTCGCCAACGAGGC